TGTATTCATTAATAACTAGATATTATTCAATAAAAGACAGACAGGCAAGATTGCCGCTTATAACACAAAAAAAAAAAAAGAAATTTAAATAAATATAAATTTATAATTAATTAAAACATTTTAAAATTATTTGAAATATTGAAAAGAATTTCAAAAATACCAAATTATAATATATTGCGAATATATACAAATATATGTAAATAGTTTTAAATAAATACAAATTATTTTAAATATTTATAAATATTTTTAATATATCATAAAAATTTTTAAAATATTTTGCAATATTTTGAAACATTGCAAAATATTTCAAAGTTTATAATATTATTAAATAGTAATAAATAATTTAATATATTTATTAATTTTAGTAATATTAATGTATATAAAATTACTATAATTGATAGAATACATCATTTAATTTGAGATTATTTAATTATTAAATCATATTTACTTACAATCTTTTGAAAGATCTATATAGAACTTTAATAATAAATAAAATAGATAAAAGATTAGTAAATATTCTATGATATCCAAAACTTAAAATATTTAAAAATAGAATTCAATCAATTTTTAGATTTACAGCTAATAAATATCATAATCTTTTAAAGTTTATGATATTTGTTTTAGATAACCTAATTAATAATGAAATATTAAATAAAAAATCATTAAAAATTTATAAAGACTGAAATAATATGCATATTATAAATTAAAATGAAAAATTTAATAATAATAATTTAAAAAATTTTGAAATAATTATTTAAATTTTATAAAAATAAATTTTTTTAATATTTTTATTATATCATGAATTTGTTATTTTTTAAATTTTATCAAAATAATTCAAATATTTGTGAAAATTGTAAAATATATTTAAGATATTCTATTTATTAATTATTTAAAAATTTTTATAATATTTTGAAATTTATCTAATTATTTCAAAATAATTTGCAAATTTTTGAATTAATTTAAAATATTTTACAATATTTTAAATATATTTAAAATACTTATAAAAAATATAATTTATTTTATTTGGATTTTAATAATACATTGAACTTAATAATTTATTACTATTTTTCAAAACTATTCAGAATTTAAGTATTCAAAATTACATTTATGAGTATATTATGTTATTGATTTAATTAGAAAATATAATTCTTTAAATAGATTTTCTACTAAAAGTTATAAAAGTCTTCATAAAGATTTTGTTAAAATACTATATTATTTAACAAATAAATAAAATATAAAAATTCAAATAATATAAATAATAAGAATTATTTGATTTTTATATTATTTATAGTATTTTATAAAAATAACTATTTTTTTAAATTAAATAGATTCAAAGACAGAATATTGTAACAAAAATATTATCAAATAAATTAAAAAAAAATATTAAAACTATAAGTTCTTATAAATTTACAAATTTAATTTAGATATTTAGTTTAAATAATGCTCAAGAATTTATTAATAAATATTTAAAAAATTATAATTCAAATTCTAAAATATATTTTGAACTTAATAATTCATTAAAATATTTAAATATATATTTTAATACAATAGATCTAATGAGTTTAGATCATTATATTATTAAAATATATAGTTCAGTAACTTTAAAAAATGTATCTATAATTTGAGTAACAGATAATTTTTATGAAAAAACTTGATATAGTAATGTAACAGCTGCTATAAATAGAATATAAAAAACTCTATTAGGTTTAATACAAAATTAAATAAGACTTAATAATCATAATATATCTTTACCAGTTTATCAAAATTATTAATAAGATATAATAAATACAAGATTAGAGTGTTTAAATAAAAGATTCACAGATGGGTCCTAGGTATGACAACTAGTGTAGAACCTTCAGATGAACTACTTAAATTAAACAATAATTAAAGTTATATTAGTAACTAGTTGTATACTCTTTTTATGATTGCTCTTATAATTGTTAAATAACAGTTACTAATCAAAATATACTATTAATAAAATTCTGGATCACAAGTACTCACCTTAACATTAAAAAAAAAAAAATTTGATCCAGATGATTATCAAAAAGAGTTCTAATAAAATAAAAATCTGATCACTTATATATAAAAATATAAAAATAAAATTTTAAAACATAATAAAATTAAAAAAAATTTAAAATATAATCAATCAAAATTTGGTATTTTGTTTAAATTTGACCACTTTTAAAAAACGTTGCTGGTTTAAGATGTTCCGCATTTTATACGTTCTCTAATAAAGGTTTTACATTTTATGTTGTGCCTCAGATTTAAACGATGTCGAATTTTTGGCCTGCATTAACTGATTAACATTGATTGGCCTAAATTATACCCTAACCCCGATCGACATCTGAGGCAAGCGTTAGTCTGAGGCACAACATGTATATCCGATGTAGCCACTTTATTCTAAATATCTTAAATCCAAAAACAACTTTTGTAAAATCGATAGATAATACGATTATCTTTGCTTTAACAAATTTATAACTTGTTCACATGATTCGGTACTTTTAAGTCGAAAAATATTATATCGATGTTCGTTTAAAAATTTAATGCGATAACTGGATCTGAATAGGTGTCACACTGATATAGATACATTTTTTAAGTTGTTTTAGTCGAAAAGGTTTATATTTTCGGTCAAAAGAGGTTCTATCTAACATTATAAAAACTTCATGTACGTTTTACAGTGGAAATAAGCAACCAATCAATCAAAATTGACTTATGCTAATAACGAAGTTTTAATTAATTTATAGCATTGATTTAACAAATTTGATTGGTTTTTGAATTTTACACTATCGACTGAGAATGGACATATATGTAGTTTGATTATTATCCAAAATGAAGTAGATATTCTAATTCCAAACCCAAACTATGTAGTAATGTCATGATTCAAAAAAAGGTTTGGGTCGTAACCCTAGTTGAGGTCCAGTGTAGCCCGAATAATATGCGTTGTTTATCGAAGGACCGACAACACCGTAACCCATCCCATAGGGGACATTCATCGGTATGTGTGTAGCTGGAGCCCTTGTAGGTGGTAATCCCATGATCATTGGTTGTGTCACACTAGGAATCGGATGCGATGGTGTTGCGTGGATTGATCCATTAGCTATCATATTCTGCTGTTGCTGCTCATTATGGTGCATAGGCGTATTAACACCAGAAAGACGAACTGCATTTGTAGATCCGTAAAGAGGGTTACGGGAATTTTCATTCTGTAGATATGCGTGACTTTTGTTTATCGGAAGCATTCCCTTGAATGCCGTTTCGCGTATAGGTAACTGTGCCATAGCTTTCTCTATGCCTTCGTGAGTTACCAGTGCGGATGGCGGAACTTCGGATATCATTTCGGCCAGTCGCTTCTGCAGCTTCAAGCCTTTTATAAAAAAAGTTATCGATTAAATATGTAAAATAATCATTCAATCAACACTTAAGGCCTAATTGAATTTTCTTACCTAAATTTTTTTCTTTCTCTGACATATTGTGGGGATTTTTTATAAATCTATCGGTTTGTAATTTTTGTAACTCTAAAAAGATTTCAACATTTTCATCTAATTTTAAATCAAACATATTCGAGTTATCATTTTCAACTAGTTTATAGAACATATCAACATCATTGTCCTCAAAATTCCCGCTTGTATTATTTGTTGAGATTTCATTCAGATTCTTTAATGGTTTTGATGAAAGACATTGAATCTGTTCAGTGAAACGGTCATTTTCGATGGAAATAACGTCCTTAGTCGAATTAGACATGCTTTTTGATACCAATTCGCAAGAATTTTTTTTGGATAAGGATTCATTTTTATTTTCTGTGCTTTTCTTATTGAGCTGGTTTGTAGAATGACTAATAAGTTCGTTTGCATTCATGAGCGCGGACGCTGCCACGGTATCTTCATAAGACATTAAAGCATCACGCGAGTTATATATCGGAACGAAAGACCCATAAGGCTTGTATTCATGAAATTTGACTAGAGCCCCCCCCCCCCAAATATATAAGAATAAAAATAAATAAGAGATTTATTACAATAAATGTTTAATAGATCAGATACTACCTCCAGGAACACCAGGTTCTTTTGACAGCATATTTTCTTCCTTCTTAGTCGTATTTGGAAGAATTGATCCTAGACTTGGAATATCGTGTTCATTCATTGAATGTAGCGGGACGATTGCTACCTCCTTGATATCACCGACTAATAGACAAGAGCTATATATCAATGACATAACCGTACAAAGTACAATTGTTAATAATCAGCGTACCTAGTTTGAATTTTTGGTTTTCTAATGGAAGTTGCTTTAGAGAACAACTTGAAAACAAATGCCCATTTGTCGTTGATTGAACAAGCGCCTTTTTTTGTGGTTTTTTTATAACTGAATTAATTTTTAAAGGAGAAATTGGATTGCGTCAATTAAATAATTGATTTAAACCATTGTATCAAATGATTATATACTTGCATTCATTTTTATTTATCAAAGGACTTTCATGATTTATATTTGCTATATCTGCTATATCTGCATTTTGTTTACTATTTGTCATTTCTTTCGTAGCTTGTTCTATCAGGCGTAAACCCAGTAGAATGAATTCTTTTCCAAAATTATACTTTTTCTGGTCGACAGACATGAAGTTGCTACAAGCACGAATAAAATCAAGCTTAAAAACGTAAATAGAACTCATTAATAATGTATTAACAATTCATTATTACATATGACAATAAATAGCATAATATTCACTTGAAACTCTTTTAGGGTATTGTATTCATTCTTATCGATCTTGGCGCGAATCGTTGTGGAATTTAAAAATTGCACTTTCCCTTGACATTTTGAATCTTGTAAAATCTGATGTGTATCGCGACTAGAAACAAATAAGTGGTAAGACGAAAATCAGAATTCGGATATTTAAACGAATTGATCATTTTTCTAACCTCTTGTTTTTTTTTTTTTTTTCAAACCACCATCTCGGACACTGGATAAGATATCAACTTCGAGAAGGTTGGAATGTATACTCCATGAAGTACTTAAGTCACAGACTGGTCAAGGAGATGGTAGTTGCCCACCATGACAAGTTTTATGAAATTGTCATAAATCTCCTTCACCTCATAAAAAGTAGACTATTCCTATAAAAACGAAATAAAATAAAATTTACTCACGCCTCCAATATATCCATTATTTTAATCAACAAATTTCGAAAATTCTGACCAGTACTATACATGGGTGTCGAAAATATTTTGTTATTGGCGTAAATTTAAATGGCGAAAATGAATTTTTGATAATTAAAATTGTAAATAATTTAGTATGTCGAAACTTCTGTATGTCGAAAATAATTTTTCGTGTAGTGTTCCAAGTTGGTAAAATTTTGCCAATCGTTTAGCGTCAATTGCCAACTATAGAACTAATCGAATTTTCATATCATGTGACATTATCAGATGATTAACCAATCAAATCAAAGCGTTAACGTTAACCAATCAAAATGCACAATTTTAAAATAATTTATTACTGTATATACCGATACTAGAAAACGAGAAAAATATCATATCAGATATAAAGAAGCTTATATACTGTATATGCTAAAGAATTTATCACATATATCTAGAGAATAGATAGACACGTGTAAACTGGATAAATGTTAACTAATAAACCCAAATTCATTAAAAAATTTACAAGATATAAACCAAAACTTTAATTTATAATTGATAAACTCAAACACATTACAAGAACAAACATTAACCAAGGTCCTACTACTAGAGAGCTTGTTCCATCCAAATTAACCAGTTAGCAATAAAATTTTAACGTAACAAATTAGCTTTAGACGAAAACGTTTCTAATTAGTATAATTTGATATCGTCCAAAACGGTAGTCTGTTTTTCTTCTAAGCGAAGTTCTTCAGGTTCCCAATCTTTTCGTACAGTGAATATTCACACTTTTGTGAAGCTCACGATAAAAAAGATCGTATTATTTATTAATGAAACGTTACGTTATCAAAAATTACTCTAAAAGGTATAAATAAGTTACCCGGAACTATGGAGCAATTTTTAAACGGTTAAACGGTTAAGCGGTTCCAATCCTTACCATAGATCATTTCGAAAGTCTTGACAGCAATAAGATTTTCGACAGTCAATAATAATTTCGACAGACGAAAATAGTTTCGCCATACGCCATTTTGGAGTGCAATAGCAAAAATATTAAAAACATTTCGTCATACCGTCTGCCATAAATCATCCATAATTTCGACACCCAGGTATAACCAGTACCTAGAGATGGGCAAATCGCAGTTTTTTAAAAAACCCGCGCGGGATTTGCGGAATATAGTAAAGTTTTTTAATTTTTCATGAATTATAAAAATATATATA